TAGGGCTACGACTTCGAGAACCACTCTTCGACCTTGAACCGGAACGTGACCTAGACCTCGACGCAGATTTAGATTTTGATCGACTTTTGCTTCTTGACCTACGTTCGTCCGATTGTGAGCCACTTCTTGATCCCGACCTAGACCTAGACCTTGATCTTGACCTTGACCTTGACCTTGAACGCGAAGGAGCCTTCCTAGAACCACTAGGCGACCTTGATCTTGATCCTGCGCTTCCTGGAGAACCTGATCTCGATCTTGGGTGTGATCCACTACTTTTCCTCGATCCACTACGCGACCTTGATCGTGATTGACTCTTTCTCGACCCTGATCTTGATCTAGAACCTGATCTTGAACGCGATCCGCTTTTCGCCGAACCTGATCTTGATCTAGACGGGCTCCTCGATCGCGACTGACTTCGTGATTTCGAACCTGAACGAGATCTGGACCGTGAACGAGACACTGATCGTGATTGAGATCGGGACTGTGACCGCGAGCTACTTCTAGAACGACTTCTGGACTTTGATCTGGAACGAGATCTAGAACGCGATGCGCGAGAACCTTCTGAATCAGACGTGATCTTTCTGCTTCCTCGTGCTCTGCCTTCGTTACCGCTTTCACCTCTGAAAAACGAATTAAGTGTTTTCAATTTCCTTCTCTTATTACATCTCTTAATATCTTTTCGTGTATGAATCTTACCCGCTGGCAATCTTAAGATCTCCAGAATCACTGTCAGATTCACTAGTTGATATTGTTTCTTTCGACAAAGGCATCTTGCCCTTTGAAGTCTCAGCTGTACTTTTCCTAGATCCTTTGTCCCTCCTAAAACCTCCAGTTTTCCTACCACGTTTCGGTTTGGGTCGATCACTATCTGACCCTGAATAACGAAAAGTAAAATATTTTTATTTCATTATCTTCACTTGTTTGTTTAATTAAGAATTGTAAAATGCTATCTTACCGCTTTCACCACTTCCTGCTTCCTTCTTGCGTCTTCCTTTACCTTTGCCTTTCTTCTCTTTACGTTCGCCACTTGCTTTCCTTTTACGTTTCTTTTCTCGTGGAGCTTCTTCTCTACCTTCGTCTCTTCCAGAACCACCGCTGTCGCTAATATATTGATCAGTGCGAACTCTCTTTCCTTTCCTTCCTGGCTTCTCTGAAGGCATGTCTCCGAACACCAAAGCGTTCTTCGTCTTTTCAACGTACTCCTGTCGTTTCTGCAACATTTCCTCTTCCTTCTGGCGACGCATTTCTTCCAGTTTCCTTTGCTCTTCTGTTTGTCGCATTTTAAACGCTTGCCTATAAATTAGTACAAGACGTTTAGTTCAAGGTTCGACAAATGTCACACGTTACGTATATCCAAATGTTTACCTTTCTTCCTCTTGTTTCCTTCGAAGCATTTTTTCTTCTTCGTCCAACCTTCTGGCACGGGCGACGTGATACTGTGCCTGTGACAACAAATCTTGACATCGTCTTGCCTCTGTCTCCGCAAGTTGTTCCATTCTGTCCCCGTGTGTTGATAAATATTGGAAGTATTTGTGTGAAAGTCCCAATTCGTGAACTGCCTGCAGTACGGTTGTTAAAGTCGACTTTTCGTCTTTCAAAATTTGCGTCGCTAAACGCTGGAGGACAAGCGCAATATTGTACAACAACACAGTGTCCTGTGGAGCTACTCTTCTTGCCTGAAATATAACGAATTGATTAGTTTATTGCTTTAACAGCTATCATAAATACCGAATAGTGTGTTTTATTCACCTTTAGTAGCGTCAATTTTGCTTCCTTCAATTTACCAGCTTTAAAGTAAGCTCTTCCTAGATATTGCAAGACTTCTACATGATGATACTTATAGAATTTTCGAAGGCAATTTTCATACTGTGAAAACACAATTTATAAAATAGAAGCATCTTCGTTATTTTACTGCAGTAAATACGAAACGAGAAATTACCATTTGAATAGCGCTAACAAATTGTTTCTGCTCTACATAAATGTGCGCTATATTCAACCAAACGTCACAAAATTCTGCCGTTGCTTCTCGGACTTGAGCGAAAATATCTCTGGCTTCATTTACACAACCTTTATGCGCTAATACAGCTCCGATTCCATTTGCCGCCCAAATATTTTTAGGATCGTTTCGTAAAACCTACAAAATTCAATGTTTGTATACGAACATAGAGATTCGATATTTCTAATTGCGTTACCTGTTTATACATAGCCAATGCTCTATCTTGATGACGCTTCTCACGATCTTTATCTTTTCCACTTTGATGCAATGTTTGCAACCAAATGTTGCCCAAAGCAATCAAAGAATAGGCATCGGTACTTGTTGTTGGATTTTTAAGGATCCTTTCAAATTTCTTTTGACCAGGACCCCATTCCATTTTGGCTAAATGTAAATTACCTAAAAGAGACCACGCGTCAGGATGCTCGTTGTTTATTCTCAGAGCATCTTTAAACCAATCGGAAGCTTCGTAAATTTGTCCTTTGTCTCGAGCCATACAACCAAGTCGTAAATAGCAATCTACATAATTCGGATGTTCCTTTAAAATGTCTTTGTACAACTTTTCTGCTTTATCAAATATACATAAAGCTTCGTTCAAACGTGCTAAGTTATACGTAGTCGTAACCGCGATCGAGTTATAGTATACGGAATCGTGTAAGGCATCGGCTTTAGAACGCGCCAAAGATTCTTCCAAATTTTTTCTAGCTTCTTCTAAATTTCCAAGTCTGTAAAATAGTCGTAAATGTTAAGTTCCATAGCGAAATAAATGATAAATTTGAAGTGCAGGATAAAACACACACCTATAATGTAGAGCTCCAACATTATTTAGAATTTCAGGTGGTATATCTGCCTGAACTTTTTCTTTTAAAATCCTAGTTGCAGTACCATATGCGTTTAAGGCTGCGTTAAGGTCACTTTGTTCTAGAATTTGAGCTAACTCAATCCATGCTTCAACATCGTCGGGAAATTGTTCTGTTACTTTCCGAAGATGGTTTTTAGCGATATCGCGTTTCGATTGAGAACTTGAGTTTGCGTACAATGATCCGAGAATTTTCATCGTCTCGTAATTGCCTGGTTGAGCTTTTAAAACTTTCTCGAAGCACTGTGCTGCCTGTAATATAAAACGTAATGGTTGGAAAGCTATGATCTTTGCTTTATTATGCAAAGTATCAAGTTATATTTACATTTTCTGCATCTCCGCGATAAACATACATTTGACCTAAGCCAAAATGTGGTAACACAAAAACTGGTGGTGCAAATTGAGTTGCTTGATAATAATATTGAAATGCTTGATCATAGTCACCCTGAAATAGTTTAATAATTTGTCAAAGTCCTTGAGAAGACATCAGTGTTTATCCTATGGTAAAATGAAACTTACTTGAACATGAAATGCTCTGGCTAATTGATAACAACTCTCTGCACGCATAGCCTCATTTTCAGTATTATGAAATGCATGGAGTGCTAAATGTTGCACTTTATTATAGTCTTTTTTAAAGAAGAAATGATTTGCCAAGTGATTTAATACCATAGGATTCGTGGAATCTATCGTATATGCTTTAGATAACATTTGTACACCAGTCCTGATACTATCAGGTTGCTGTTGGTTTAGCTTCAAAACTGAAAGGCCAACCAATGCCCCTACACATTGGCCATCTAATTGCAAAGCTCTTTCAAATGCTAAACGCGCTTTGTCCTGGTTATTTAATTTCATAAAACAGTGACCCATTCCCAATCTCACAGCAGCTGGGCAGTTTGGATTTGTCCTCAATGCCTTTTTATAAAAGGCAAGAGCACCTCTGTAATCTTTTTTGTTGAATGCTATACACGCTTTACCAAGCAGAGAAGGAATATTGTTCGGAGATTGATTCAGTACAAAATTAAATTGGGCATCAGCTTGATCCATCTTATCCCCCTCCAAGAGGCAAAAATAAGCTCGGCCGAGTAAATGATTCTTTAACAGAAATAATATAATGTACACAATGTTTGTATATCCCTAAGTATCAACCAAATTGTCACAAATGAAATATACCTGGTCATACATAATGATTTTATCTGCAGTGGTATACAATAGTGTAGCTTTTGTAAAAAGGTCTCTTTTTTTGTCTTTATTCTTTTCTCTGTTGGCTTCCTGCACATAATATGCAGCCAACATGTCCAATGCACGCATTTGATCTTTTTCATAGTCACGGTAATCAATATTAGCATCAATCCGAGAAGATTCAAGTATCTTAATAAAATCTTCAATTTTATGTTGTTTATAGTATTCAAGCTGCAACGAAAAGTAATACATTTTATACTCTGCTACTTTTCTTCCGCAGCCACTCATAGATATACTTTTATATATTTAAGATACATACGGCCAAATTGACCCATATATTAAGTTGTGCATGTTCTTGGCGTAAGATTCCAAGAACCTCATCACCTTCTGGTAACTGATCAAGGTAGAGTTCAATTACCTAGTACAATGCAATATGAAAAATTAAAACACCACTTGCAAAAAAACAAGCAATAGAATAATATGGTAAGGCATTTAAATAGACAAAAAGTGGATAATAAATTCGATTTATTGAAGAATATTAATTAACAAATAGCTAATGTGATGATATTTCAGTATACATGGATACAAACGAACTACATATTGAAGGGGATATGAACAAAATAAGAGCAAAAAAATGGTAAAAAATAATACGATCGACACAAGTGAAACAACAGTAATTTATATTCAATATTGCAGGAGAGATATCAGTGTAGTCAAGAAACGATGTGTGTGCAGCTATAGCTAGTGTATACGATTTATTCCACAAGCAGCTTTTGTAGAGGTTAGGTTCACTAAAAAGTCTTCTTATCACGATTCCCTAACGAATTTTAAGTCGCACTTTTAAGAGGTGTAACAGTAAACGTGTACGCTTATTTCGGACCCTTTGAAAATAGCAAAACTGGGGATTAAGAACAAAAATATTCACCTCGTCTGTGTCACGAAGTGGGATCTCTATGGAACCCGCCATTGCGGCATCGTCACTGATTTTCTCAAGGCGTAGCTAATAGATGTCGCGTTAGGCGAATGATAAACACTACGAAAGTGTGGTTCTTTTGAAAGCATAACACTCTATGATAACCATAAATATTAAGAGAGAAAACAAGAAAAAAGAGGTAAAAAGGAGAAGGAAGAAATAGACAAAATTACTTTTGATTTATCCTTCGTTTATTACTTTACTTCAAAAAAATATACACAATATACGTGAAATAACATTTTGACACGTGTATGGACGATATAATATGAATACAGCCTAACGCATTTACGAACAAACATAATAATAAGAATCATAAAAATAATTATCACCGACTCTCACTTATTTACTTTACAACGAGAGAAATTAGTTAACATCGTTCAGTATTTAGATCTAATAACAATCAGTTGCATTACACCGTACAATTATCATTTACAAAGTATTTTGAGCAACAGGAATGTGTGTAAGTACATTACATCTCGATAAACATTCAAATCAACAACGAAGATCGCGTCTCTTACACGCGGCTAATTCATACGAATACTTTTTTTTTTATTAAGACGGTTAAATTCTTAGAAAAAACGACCGGCTAATTAGAGAACACTGTAACACGTTTTACAAACTTATTAGTCGTCTCGGAGAGAACTATTTTACCCCTTAATTCTGCAACGTCGTAGAAACCGAAAGAACGTTTCTCGTAATCCGTTAATTTAAAACTTCGTGTAAAACTTCAACAGGAGCGTAGAGAGGTAGTAAATTTTTTCCGTTTCTCTAGCTCGCTCTACGTTTCTTTTCTCTCTCTCTCTCTCTCTCTCTCTCTCTCTCTCCAAATCTCCCGTGTTCCCTCTCTTATTCGTAATAACTCCCGTAAAACGAGGTGAAGGCCGTGTCAGAGCTGACACTCGGCGGTAAACTCGTCGCGTCCATCGTTTCTTTTTCGCTGCTAAGGGTCGACGCCTTCACGTCGAGGGTTCCGCTCACGCCGGACATCCCTGAACTTGTCGCCATTTCCACCTCTCCGACGTCGGGATGAGACATGTGTCTTAAAATGACGTCACTTTAATCCACGGTCAAATGGTTCGTTAATTTCTTGTCAGGGCCATTGGTGGAAATAAAAAAGATTAATTGGAGGGCATGTGGTTTGTCGAAGAGAAGAAGAAAATAAGGAAAACAGTGAAATTTGATTGTCTGTAGAAGTTTTTCTAGAAAAAGAACAATGCGTGTAGAGTATAGTCCATTTTAATTCGTACGAAAATTCAAGGAGAAACATTTGCAGGCGATGGTATCAAGAACGTTTCAAGGTCATTTGTGTTTTTTTTTTCACTCTTTCAATTCAGTGATACGGAATATGTATACAGGGTGCGGCCGAATGACATGTACAATGCACATGAACAATTCCTCATGAAAGAATAAGAACAAAATATGGAAAAAAATTTTTCTCATTTAAGCCTTAGTTTTAGAGAAAATCGAGTTTGAAAATTAGTTTGAAAAATAGTCTGAAAAATAGATGAACTGTAACTTAACTGGTAACAGCATACGTACGCGTCGGATTTTCAAACTCGATTCTCTCGAAAACTAACCTAAAAATGAAAAAATTTTCTTCCATATTTTCTTCTTATTTTTTCATAAGGAATCACCTCGTGCCCACTTGTACATGTTAGTCGGCCGCACCCTGTATGTACTTGGTCGAAGAGTCGTAGTGAGGTTGTAAATTACGAAGTTGAGCGACGATATCGATTGATCTAGCCGCACGCAGGGCCGTACGCGTCTTATAGGAGCCCCTTAAATCTCAAGACTGTAGAAATTGGTAGAAGAAATTTCAGCGAAAGGAAGTTTCATATTTGATTTAAAATTTTAGAGTCCAAGATCATTTTAAGGTCATATTATGCAGATTTCGATTTTTATCTTCTCAGATTTTATCGAGGTTTCGGGTCCTATCTTTTCAGGTTTTCGTCGATTCACCGAGCGAATATTTCTTCCACCGACTATACTTTGACGCCTGGTGAATTTTACGACCTCACTATATCGCTTCCGCCAGCTATACTTCACGCGCCCTTGACTGAGATTTCGAGCCCTTATCTTCTCAGGTTTCCGTCGATACGCTCGTAAAACTTTTATGCTTCCCCGATTTTATGACTTCGCTATATTTCTTCCATCGACTATACCAACAGCTGTGACTGGATCAGTGTAAACCCGTATCTACCTTTCTTCCGTATTTTTATCGCGCACAATCCTGATTTTTTTCCTACAATAATTTATATCTCAAAATCTACAGTTTCCCAAACTGCCGTACAAAATTTTAAAAATATAACTACATATAATCAACGGAAGTATTTTAAATACAGCTAATCTAACGGAAGAACCGGCGCCGAGCAGACTTTGTACGGCACTGAACGGAACTCGACCTCCTTATCTCGCCCAAACCGACATTTCAACGATCGAAATTCACCATCTCTCGCGCCTGTCTGATTTTACGACCCCGCTGTACATATATCTCTTCCATCAACTATACATCCAGGCAGCAGCGCCCAAGAAAACACGAGCCGCCTTGAAGTGTCGTTGGCGCCAACCACCCACTGACCTTTTTCCTTGACATTTCAAAGTCTTTCTCGATCTCCCTTTCAAACGTTCCTACACCTCTATCTTTTTTTCTCACGTAGATCTGTTGCGTGAATTAAAATGGGTCACCTTGTAAATTTGAACGTTACCTGTAATCTGGAGCAGAGGGTTCAGCGTGTGGCTGTCTCCGTGAGTTCGTCGACATCGGTGTTCTCTTTATCGCGTAGATGTAGATGCCTGTCATTGTGAGGGCGTACGAGGCGAAATACAATGCGTGAAACTGGAACAGGTGGAAGGAGCCTTATTACCATATGTAGCCAGTGGTATTGTCTCTCATTTAGGTTGTCGGAACAAACAATTCCATTCGTACATACACGTGCTCAGCTTACATACGTATAAGAGGAATTAGAACAACGACCTTGTGTTTCCTTCGCGTTAAGACGTTAAGACTGAAATTAGAGAGAGAGAATTTGATACCTTGTACTGATGGACCAGCATGCCAGAGAAAACGTTGAAAGAATCTGCTGTCAGCAATGCTAACTGCAATGCCGTTGCACCGGATTCGAAGAGTATAACAGGCACCAACGAGAAGAACACGAATTGGGTGATACAGTAAACCACCAAGAACGTGATCACCGGTTCGTTGTTCCACTGAAACGTGTCTACACTTTCCAGTATACCTCTGGAACAATAGTGACATTTATGAAAATTGGAAATTACGTTGAATTATGAGTCTGTTACTTTGCAGAGAGGAACATACGATTGCATGAAGCACAATATGGTACCGAAGAAACCGATCATGCCTAGATACTCGATAATGTCGATCGTCTTCACGGCTAATTCTTGGAGAACCGTCGTTATCGAGAATAATACCGCACCACCGAGGCACAACATATCACCGACGAGTTGATTCTTCCCTTTGAGGAGAGAGTTTGGAATTTAATTATAGGAGATCGATAAACGAGCCATTTGGAAGTTAGAACAATTAATCCCTTAACGCTCACATTTTTTTTCGATTTGGTGTGCCAAAGACGATCAATGTTTTCTTTCTTATTATTTTTTGGCCGTGTAGAAATAGGTTTGCTATTTACTTAGAAGGCTGTGACTTAAATTTTTGCAGTAGAATGGAAAGAATAGCGTAATATGAAGAACGAAAGAAAAGTGCGCTTTTTGGAGCGTTAAGGGGTTAACTCCACTTTTTCAAATTCTTCGAACTTTAGTATCAAAGCACATGCTTGGTACTTAACCCTTTGCACTCTGAGCATTGTGTGATTGTTGCAACAGAATAGAGAGGACGGCGCAATATGAGAAGTGAAAGAAAATTACACTTTTTGGAGCGTTCAGGGATTAACTCCACTTTTTCGAATTTCAGTATCAAAGCACAGGCTCAGTGCTTAACGATACAATCGACAATCAATTTCAACACACTCACCCAGTGAAATTTTTGAAAACGAAAAAAAATTTATTAACTTTTATGTCTTCTGTTAATTCCTTCATTTTAATACAAACAAACCTCGAACGGCAGAGCATCAGCACAAAATGTCAACAATCCCTAAGTAAAAGAAATTTCATAAATCGAATTTCACGGAGTTACTCCAACTCCCAAGTGTCTCAAATAATTCCACATAATTTCCAAACAGATTAAAATTACAAATCACATTCAACTCCCGTTCGAGCGAATTCAATATATATAATCACCTGTGGTCGCAGGGTCTTTATTGTCATCGATCCCTGCCCAAACCAAACACCCCACCCCCATCAAACAAACAGAAACACCGACAATGTGCACCATTCTGTACCTCACCCCGAGAACCAAAAACGAGAGCGCCAGAGCGACCGGTATGGCCACGCAGTCAAGCAGCTGAAACAGAATATCCCTCCGGTTGACTATCCGCTTTGCATCGTTAAAATTTCAATGCACCAACGGACAACAATGACGAAGTCCACCGTCGATGCTGCTCTGCACCTCTCTCGCATCTCGTTCGATTAAGAATAGAACCGAAGAGAGAAAGAGAGAGAGAGAGGGGTGAGCGACCTGGCGTCCCCTTTTCATCAGCAACGGTGTGTACTCTCGATACAATGGTTATTCCGTCGTTCCCATTCATCCCCGTAACCGCGAATATACTACGCCGTTTAATTCAAACGCGGCTCGAACCGTGACAAAGAAAGAGTACCGCGAACGAAAAGTGGGAAAATCGCACAGCAGAACGCCTCCTGCACTTTATTGTAACGGAGCGGAACTCCGTTCTCCGATGAATAAAAACCATTTTTATTCTTCGAGGAACGGCAGTTTTTCCGTGTACCGCGAATAAACGGCCGTGCTTTGCGGAAATTAGACGGCGGAAAAATAGTGGAAGAAACGAACACGGGAAAAACGCATTACAGAAGAGAAACATCTTTTCGTCGCGTGAAAAGAGTATTCTTTTTTTTTTATCGTTGTACGACGATTTGTTGTTCCGTGTCGTGCAATTTTCGTGAAATGAATTTCGTGCCTTTTCGTTTCTCAAGTCCCCCTTGGAAACGGTAGAACGAAAATAATTAACGGCCCGTTCAAAGTGTACCGTAACGAAAACGGAGAACTTCGTCATGGTTTTTTGGCCAAGGCACGAACGTTGAAATCCCGCGTGACATCGTTAGCGCGTTACCTGTATACTCGCTAAGCTGGTGAATTGATGCGAGGATGTTATAAGTGTGCATGCTTCAACGTCAATGAGCGCCAGCAGCAAGTACCTCCATCCACGGGCTCTTATCACTGAAATTAGACCGTTCCCTGCCCCTCTGCAGGACATCCAGGTTGTGTATACAAGGCACATCATAATGTAATGCGGAAGATTTTGTCCTAATATTACGCCCGATCGCCGATACCCCTGTTGAGAGATTATTCATGCAAACCGATCGCTCGTTAATTACTCACCGGTTGGAAGCGCGAGCTGATACTCGGTGTTGATGTGATGATTTGCGAGCGTCATGAAGCATAGTACCAGGGACAGGAATTGCCCCATTATTATCGCTCTCCATACTGACCTGTTAACGGTAAACGATGCGATTGAAAGCATAAAATATGAGGTAGTGATAAAAATCAGATAGAGGAAAAGCTCGGTGATTGTGCAGCAAGGGAAGTTCGAAGGAAAAATTTCTGAAATAAATGGAATTGTGCGGTTTCGTTTTTTTAACGAAAAACACTCGTGCTTTGTAAAATGGACAGTTAAATGAGATATGTAAACAACAGAATGTGAGTAATTGAAGAAAAAATTTCTGAAATGAATACAACTTAATAATCATACGTTGTAACGAAAAAATTGCCTCTAGCAATTAAACGGGACAAGTAAACAGCAGAATTGAAGTAATTGAAGAAAAAATTCGTGAAACGAGTGTAACATCGTTAAATTATGGAACAAATTTATACGCAATTTTTTAACAAAATGTAGTCATACTTCATAAAATTCAAAATTCACCAGCAGGTAAATAACAGAATCCAGCAAATTAAAGAAAAGAATGCCTGAAATGAGTACAACCTAAATAAATTATGCAACAAATTTATACACGGTTCTTTAAAAAAAAAAATGGTCCCACATCACGACATAAAACAATCTCCTCTAATAAATAAAAAAGCAAGTAAATAACAGAATGCAACAAATGAAAGAAAAAATGTCTCGAATTAATGCGACATAATTAAACCACGAATCAAATTAACACACACTTTTTTACCAAAAGAATGGTCGTACATCACAACATAAAATCTCCAATAAACAAAAAAAAAAAAAAACAAGTAAACAACAGCACCCAACAAATGAACCAAAAAATTCCCGAAACAAACGCAACCTAATTAAACCACGAATCAAGTCCACCCACAATTAATTCCGAAAAAACAGTCATCCCTCGCATCACAAAAAACTCACCCCTACCAAATAAGCAATAAGTAAACAAGCCAACGAACCTAACCGAATCAACGACACATCACACGAACCCCGAACAATCTGACAATTAACAAACCCAAGAACGTCCTTCCTCCACCCACAAATCTACCGAAAATTCGTCGTAAACACCCGCCACTTTTATCCCCGGGCACCCTCTTCCCCTTCCGGCTCGAGCGTTCAGTAACCGGCTCGAGGGTGGATCAACGTTCGGTTTCCCATCCGCGTGTCCGTTCGTCCTTCGGTTACTCACCATTGTCCAAGCTCCGATATGTAATTCTCGATCTTATCGCAGATCCCGTTCCCGGGCTGCATCGCCGTATTTTTGCCGCAGCGACGATCGCCCGCTGACACTCCCATGCCATGGTGCATTTTCGCCCCGAGGCTCTTAACCACCGGCACTGC